ATGTTATACCGTTAGATACATTGATTAATTTCTTGTCGTGATATTAGGAGACATGTGCTGCAAGCTGGTCGATATCATCTTAAACCACCACCATAGTGTTATCTGCAGGAGCGTCGAACCAATCGCTGAGGAGATTGAGAAATTCAGAGAATTGGTAAAAAAACAAACTCGTGCAAATGCCACATTTGACATGAGACAGGAAACTACGGAAGAATACGAGGTGAATATTACTTAAAACTTTGGAAACATTTTTTTTTTTGAATACCAAGTGACCTAGCACTAAGACCAGATTTTTGTTATTCCTTGTATCTCGAGTTTTTATAATGCGATTTTTTTGAGGAGGGCGGAAAAAAATTAAATTAATTCTTTTTTTCCATTAGATTTGCGTGATTCTCAAAGAATTGAAAGTGAGATCATTGATCGGAGAGAAGAAATGAAATACAATTTTATTCCATGTATAACCTTGTTTCTCATCTGCGTGAGACTTCGGCATTTTGATCATGATACTCCCACGAAAATGCAACTTGGGTTTGTTATGCGGCGGGCGGAAAAAAATGAAGATAACAGGTTTTTTTTAGCAATTTTTTGCACTTACAAGTCGGCGGGCGCGAGAAATTATTACGCTGAAATAAAATTTTATTTTTATTTCTATTTCGGCTCCTGTTCATTCGGCGGGTTCGCGAAACAAGGGATAATAAAAATCTGGCCTAAATTATTTTATTTTTTGCAATTGAGGAGTATACAAATGAGGTTCCTGTCCAGTAACACGTTTATTGATAATATGTTATACAACCTGCTAGGGCCAAACTCACGTATTTTTTTTACCCAATGTTTTACTGAGTGGTTCCCGTGCATTCACACACATTATCATATACCTCGTACATTCCCGGCCTCGTAACGCTATGGAAAGTGCGCCCTCACATCAGGTCAATAATTTCCAGCGTGTCCGGTTTTCATCGACCAAAACTAAACGCGTCAATCTGAATTACGTCGTGTGTTTGAGGTCACGCCGTGTAGTGGTAAAATTGTAATTACACCTATAAGGTATATGATAAAACCTTACGAGCTCGGGTGCTTCCGCCGCACGACCTCGGGCCGCAAAAACCGTATCCAAAAGTCCATAAAGAATATTTTCAGAAATTGAAGAAAACATTCACAGTACTAGTACTAGTACTTGTGTTAGCCTGTGTTTAAGTGGCAGATCCACGATATAACTAAATGTATTTGTACACTCGATAAGTGCGTTTGGGCAAAAGTGTAAAAACACGGACGTATTTATAATTATTATAGAATACTGATTTCTTAGGATGAAATTGCCAGTCTTTTGTTTTTCCCAGAAACGACCCGAGGTTGTTGTAGAATGTCTATTTCATCTTGTTACGATTTTGCAAATGATCGTTGCGGTGGATGATTTGGAAAAGACGATTATGCATCACTATGAAAACGAGATGGGAAAAGGATCGGCCATGATAATTTCACTTATATCAGGTAAATGTTATTGCTTGTGCTACGATACATGGGTATTTAAGGCAATGTGTTGTATTATATAACTGTAATACACACTTGTTGTGGGGGGGGGTATCATAATTTCGTAATTTGGATGTGCGCTGCCTGTACTTCTTAGTGCTTTTCGTCCTCATTCGCCTGCAGGTACTTTTTTTGAACACAGCTGAGGAACTTTTTTCGATAGTTTTCCACATGTGATTAAATTTGCAAGTAAAGACGCAAACATCTAGGACCAATCTAATTGCCCAATAATTGGATACGAGTATATTTCTCATGTTTCAAGTTAGCGCCCTCTATGGATAAGCCGAGTCCAAAATAAGCTCACAGGCGTCGTATTTCTTACAGACAAATCACCCGATTTAATATCAGCGGTGGACGCTAGCCATGGATTCAAATGGTCATCTGCAGACGTCCGTAGAATGTTACAAGAGAAAGATCTCCATTATACGGAACAATTCGTCCCTTACACAGTGGATATCACGCAGTGTTTCGATGAGACTAGCCTGAAGGGGGCGCTGTTAATGGAGATGTTAACTATTACGCCCGGTTTCCGCGAATGCGTCAGTAAAGAAAAACAAAAAACAATCCTCGATATACTTAAGTCAAAGTCATTTAAAGATGGTGATGACATTTTAGCGAAATACGGTTTTGATGTGTATATTGTGTTTAAAACTTGATGCATGGAAAGCCTCAAAAAACAACAAGCAAACGTTGTTTTTCGTCACGTTGGACCTACTCATTTAGCCTTCCGAAACCCAGATAGCGTCCTAGCTAACTAATAGTGATACATGTTACAAAAAACAAACAGATTGCTGGCCATAAAAAATCTTACATGTGTAATATAATGTAGTATACAAAATCCTGTTTGTACATAGTGCTGTATTCTCGTAAGAGTGGTTGATATGAATTCTCAAAGCGCGGGAGTCGTCACCTGCGCATGCGGGAAACGGCCACAGCGTCTACCCATGAGCCTTTGCGTATTTTGCGTGCGTTGTCATCGTAGCTTAGGTCCCGCGCGTGAGCTGTTGACGACCCCTACCGCTTTAAGCAAATGCAGGATGATGATTTAATTATCAGGTAGAATAGTTTAGGTGCATGAAAGCGCGTCTAATTTGAATTAACAGTACATATTACCAGTAATTTTAAGAGCGCGCTTATGTGCGTCATTATTTCATCAAATCCAATTAAAGTTATTCTAGCTGTGGGTCCATAGCTCTTCTTGTGCCAGTCTTTGATCCCTTTGATTGTATTTTAGTCATCTCTGATATACAAAGTTAACCATACTGTACGTCTTTAGTTGTTACAGTAGTGGCCATATTGCCGGGTTAGACTGTGGATAAAGAACGCCAACATGTATGTTTAAAGGGCGGTGGCCCGCGCCGTACAGCGCGCTCAGATTTCTCGTATTAAGGTAGAAGCCTACTCATAAATTAAAAAACCCAGAATTTATTCATTTTGCAATAAATTGTACTCCAAGGCAATATAAGGATATTGACCGGAAAAAAAGTTGGGTGTCACCAGCCTTTTTTTCGAGAAATTGATGGTTTTATTTTAGTGGAAATCGCCATTTTGACACTATTATAACGCCTTTACCACAGGTTTCTATGGCAGAGATATTATGCAATATCTCAAAATCTAGCCTGAAAAAATCATATATTGTTAATTATGGAGTACTTTTTGTTGTTCTGAATTATTTAAAAAATCTGGGTTTTAAAAAGTGTCAAAAAATGCAGTTTTTCTTTAACATTGTGTTCTATGGAAATGTTCTAAAAATAGCAATGTTCAAGAAATATTAGGACGCATTTCTCGGAAAGCATAACTGTAACACACAAAATAATGCTATTTCATTGTACCATGAGACATTAGCTTCATGATTGTACATAATAAACTAATGACCATTGTCATGTGATTTATGACCAATTTTGTCAAAAATTATGACTAGGCTTCTACCTTAAGCAAACATTTTACACGCATTGTATACTTCGCTTGGAACTCGTGTCGAAAGCGGCCCGGCGCCACGATCACGATCACCGTCTTATAATATTTTACAATGAGAATACAATGTATGTATAATATTTCTTGATTGCGTCAATTTACTCGTCACTAAAGTATTTGTAACATTCGCGATATGTTCCGTATGTATAACGCCTGTAGCAAT